TCTCCTCAGCTAGAGGCGAGCTTCTCCTCAGCTAGAGGCGTGCTTCTCCTCAGCTAGAGGCGAGCTTCTCCTCGGCTAGAGGCGAGCTTCTCCTCAGCTAGAGGAGACCTTCTCCTCTTCTAGAGGAGACCTTCTTCTCATCTAGAGGAGATCTTTTCCTCTTCTTGAGGGATCTTTTCCTTTTCAAACGTTTTATTATTCAAGAGGAGAACTTCTCCTTATCAAGAGGAGTCCCACTCCTTAAACATAGAAAAAAATCGAGGAGATCTTCTCTTCTTCAGGAAGACACCTTCACCTCATCTCGAGGAGATTTTCTTTTGTTCTGGAGATCTTTTTCTCTGTTAGTGGTGACCTTCTCCTCTTCTAGGGAAGACATTCTCCTCTTCACGAGGAGACATTTTCCTCTTCTAGAGGAGTTCTTTCCTCTTCAAGAGGAGAACTTCTCCTTAAACATAGAAAAATGGAGGAGATCTTTTTTTCTTCAGGAAGAGACCTTCTCATCATCTCGAAGAAATTTCGTCTTGTTCTCAAGACTTTCTTTTCAGCTAAAGGAGATCTTCTTCACAGCTAGGGGATGCTTTCTAGTTTTCTGAAGGAGATTCTTGCTCTTCTTCTGGAGGTCTTCCAAACATAGAATGCCTTTTCGAATTCTTCGAAGCATAAGATAAACATAGAAAATATTTCAATGTCTTCTAAAAATAGAATGCCTCCTCGAGGTCGTTTAGAAGTCCTCTGCGATGTCCTGTAAAGATAAAATACACTCTCGAGGTTATCCATGCATATGAAGGGTTCTCCATATACGTTGAGGTCTTTACGTAGATGAGTTTTTAGGAAACTTTTAGACTTATATAGAGCCTCTTTCAAGGCAGGAGACCTGTTTAGAGTTATTTTCGAACAGAATATATTTTAAAGGATATTCTATAGATTTAGAGGATACTCCTTTGAGGTCTTTTAGGAGACCTTTAGCAACTCCGATTTGTACGTAGCTTTTGTGATTCATTTATTTTAGTTTTCCCGTCACGCTCTCTTCTCTTCCAGTGGCTAGTTATTCCAACTAGTTTGGTCATTGTTTTGAGTTTGTTTTTTGTCGAGAGACATTTGATTGGCGTTATGTTGCCATTTCTTTTCATAGCTTCCACCGTAGAAATTTGTTTGTTTTTGTTGTTGAGTCTGACGATGATGATGATTATGTTTTGTGTTTGTTTTTTTTTTCGTTCGTCCAAAGTGGGTTAGTACTCCACTACGTGTGTCGGAGATGATTCAGTTTGTTTAGCACTCTTTAACGTAGCGGAACTGTTCTGCTTTTTTCTGCTTCCATTTCCATTCGCTTTTTCTGTAACTGAACGCCGTTGCGGCACAATTTTAACTTATGCTCCTCGTTCCGTTGATTTGTTTTAACGTTTTTTGTTTTTTTATTTTGGCATGTGATTTTTTGTTGTTTTTTTTTTGTGTGTGTTAGTGTGGTGCATGAGTTTCAAGTAGAACTCCTCCAATTCGATTTCATGTTATAAATTTGGTTTCCGTTTTCCAGTTTCGTACATTTTAAAAATAATTGTAATCAATTTTTATTGTTTGTTGTTGCCGGTGTTGCTTTTGTTGTTATTGTTTTTATTGTCAATTAATGAATTTAGTTATAGTTATTTTTATTGTTATCATTTCCCCTCTCGAAAAAAAAAAAATATTGTGATCGACACGTTTGATATAACCGCCACCAGAACGTCAAAATTGAATGGAAATAAAAACGAAAGAAACTTTCGAATCACTTTCGCTTTTTTTTGTAAAATCGAAAAAAAATCGAGGAAGATGAAAACATAAAATGTTGTTTAAAAGTGCTAATTGAATTTGTTATGGTGCAAAAGTGACAAGCATGTCCGAAAATGTTTGCCATGAGAATATTTGCAATTAAGGGAATTCGACATGTATTTTATCAGACCTTTCAAAGCATTGGAAAGGAATTTTCGAAAATTTTCGAATTTTGGATATATAATCTAAGGGGAAAATAAATGGTGAGTGATAATAATGATTTTTGGGAATAATTTTAAAAGTTTTATTATAAAATGAAAAAAAAATGGAAAAAATAACGGAACGTCTATAGGATTTAGAGCCAGAATAACGTTTAAAGATTTTCAACGACCAGAAAACTCCCTTATTGTTTCCTGGAGCCATAAGACGTCTTCTAGAACGTATATGGCCAGAAGTTTATTCGCGTTTCTTTTTAGGAATTCAAGCGTGATAGTGTGATTCCTTTATATTTGGCTGGAAAACCACAAGTGGCTATCGTTAGAGCACTTCGGCATTTAAATTTGAATAAATCGTTTGTGTCTCGTACCATCGCTCGTTACCGTGATACTGTGGACGGAAGAAAACAGAAACATCAGAAGAAATGGTTCGAAAAGTAAAGAAGCGACTTGATCGAACCCGCGTCACATTGGCCAAAAAGTGGCTCGTGATCTGAACATATCACAATATTCCATTCGGCAAATTTTGAAAAATGAGCTCGGGGTAAAGTCATTGAAATTCCAAAAAGTGCAAGAACTTACACCGCTTGGCCGAAAGTGGTGGTGAACTGTCGAATTTGGTTTTCTCCGTCTCCGATGCGAAAACATTCGTTGTCCAGCAGTTTGTAAACAAACAAAATGATCGTGTTTACTTGCCAAAGAGGTCAGCTGAAAATGTGCTGCACCTTCGGTAGGCCTTCATGCACCAAGCGCCGGCCATGGTGATGGTGTGGGCCGCCATAACAGCCGATGGTCGCTCTCCGCTCGTATTAATCGCCACAATGGCCACCAAAATCTCCGGATACCAATCCCTTGGACTATTGTGTCTGGAGTATTTTGGAAGCGAGGTTGGTACTGAAAAATACCAAAGTGTCAATCACCTCAAGCAAGCGCATCACCGGGAATGGACCAAAATACCGCAGAGCAACATTCGGGCAGCGTGTGACGGTTTCATTGGCCGTTAGAAGGCCATAATTCGTACCAAAGGTGACCAATTCGAACAAATCTAAACTTATTCTAAAATTTGTTCATATTTCCGAAGAAAAACTTTTAAAGTATTCCTGAAGGCCATTTTTGCCCTTTCTATGGTCACAAGACCTTCCAAAGGACTTCCATTGCCAGAATTAATTTTCTATGGTCGGAATTTGTTTTAAAGATCTTCTGTAATCAGAACAACTCTCGAAGGTTTTACAGGTTCTTTTTGTAGCCAAAACGCCTCGTAGGGGTCTTCTATATCCCAAAGTTCTTTTAATAGCTCTTCTATAGCAAGAATAGTTTATAAAGATTTTATAGCCTGCGGAACTATTACTGACCTATGGCTAAAATACCTAACGGATCTTTTATTGACGTAGACGTCGTTGGACTTACAAAAGTATTAAATTTAGAAAACTTGGGTTCGCGTTAGGAGAGAACATTTCAAGCCCCGGCAAAAGGCCGGCTATTTAAAAAAATGCATTAAATTTCGAAAACGTTGGTTCGCGTTAATCGGTGTGGGATATACCCAGAAGAGAGCATTTCAAGCCCCGGCCGATGGCCGCCTATTTACAAAAGGTATAAAATTTAGAAAACTTTGGTTTCCGTTGACGGTTTGGGACATACCCAGAGGAGAAAATCTCAAGACCCGGCCCACTATGTCGCGAGTTCATACAAACGGCGGCCAAAAATAGAAAGAGTTGTCGTAGGTGGATGAAATTTTGTACAGATGCTTATTATTGGGCTAAAAAGCAAATTACAAAAATTTGGATAGATTGGACCAAAATTCGGTATACCTCCCATATATAGGGTCTTCCAAATTTCACTCTTTTAGCCTATAAAATCGTTAATATTCCACCAAATTTGATGAAAATTGGCATGTAACTTCTAATTGGGCCTATAAAACAGTTGACAAAAAATTGGATTGATCGGACCATGATTTGGTATACCTCCCATACAATGGGTCTTGAAAAATTCTCTCTTTTGGGATATAAAAACGAATGTATTAACCCAAATTCGACGAAAATCTGCAGTTTACTTCTAATTTGGGCTATAAAACAAGTGACAAAAAATTGAATTGATCGGACCATGATTTGGTATACCTCCCATACAATGGGGCTTGAAAAATCCGATTTGTTGGCCTATGAAATCGTATGTATTCAACCATATTAAATGAATATTTGCAGTTTACTTCTTATTTAGTGAAATATTAAAATTGTCTGTAGGTTTACGTTTCAGAGTATTTTATATTACAAAACCCTCTTTTCAATAAAACACGTTTTATTCGTATTTAATTTTTATTAATAACATAAGCTTTGAAATACACTATTCACTACATACCTCACTGCAATCATCAGATTCATCTTCTGAACATATTTCCGGAATATTTAAGTTATTTTCTTCACAAATATATGATTTAATGTCTTCCATGTTATAATTTCGGGCCAATATATTATGACTGTTCAAGGATATTACAGGGTCCGATTGTAGTATCAAATACTGAATTAAATCCCTATTTGACTCGACTCTACCACATTTTCGGGTGTGTTTCAAACGGTTGCTCCTAATTATTTTATGGCATGACTCGATAGCCTCTTCCGAAAGCAGTCCAAGAGGGGATGTACTGTACCTTACATATCCAATGCCATGAACTAAAATTTTATGCACCGTGACTGGCATGTAATACCAAGAGTATAAGTCGATGTAAAGTTGCCATGTATCTTGAAGAAGCTTATGAAATAAATTTGTATTTATAAATCTCCCACAAGACAAAATCCGCAAAATGAGGGAAAAATTGTAAATTAATCTTCTGTCGACCCCGGTAATATCTGCCGCTACTTCAATGTTTGAAAAAAAAACGTCGAGCTGTATTTCCATCATTTGATGTCCCGTAGCCCGGTTTTATTTTGTCGACAAGAAGACCTAGATTTGTTTTTAATGCTCTTCGTATCCTGATTTTATTTTCATTCACTAATATTGTGTTTCTACTATCAATTCGCCATGTCTTGACAGGTAGTTTATATGCAAGTTCACCTACACGTCGCCTTTTTGTTCTACATGAACTTTCCTCAAAGTTAATGCGTGGTCGACCTCTTGATGTAGACTTATCAGGTTCCTAAATATTTAAAAGTTTTTAAATAATTGGTTTAATAAAAATAATCTTCAAATGTACCGAATCAAATTTAAACGTATCCATAAGAAACCAATCTTTTAAGACCATTTCTACTTTATCCCTCTTTCGATAGTATTTTTTCCACGTAGAAGACAATTTGTAGCAAATATTTTTAACCTTTATGTGTTCTTCGCCCGTCATTTTCCTTCCAATTCGATCCTCAATAAATTCTTTAAGTTTTGCCAGAACATATGACATACTTTGATCCTTTACTTCTAACCATTCCAAAAATATGTCACAGTTTTTTAAAGAGGTGGTCACTAAAAAAAGCAAATAACTCTTAGGACCGCAGGTTTCCGCAGCTAATTTTTTTATAGGTTAAAAATACATACTTTTCACAACTAAAATCAACAAAAATGTACACTAAACTTTTTTAACCTTTTTTTTCTACTCCACTAATTTCAAGATTTGCTTTACAAAATAGATGAACTAAGTACAACAGGTGTTTGTAACTGTAAACACCATATGATCACTATTTACACCCAAACAAAGGTGAAGCCAAGTTTTTGACATCCCAAGTAACTAAAATAAACACTTTTTTTATAACCGTTACTTTTAATATTCAAATTTTTGAACATATGAAAAAAGTGTCAATTTTCCGAAAAAAATAGAAAAATGCCGATTGCCAAAAACTATCAGATTTGAACCCTCGTACAGGCAAAACTACTTGACGTATCACTACCAAAATTCATATTATTCCTAACTGGAATGTTTTCTATCAATTCTCATCAATAAATTTGTGCTCTTATGTACTTGGTTTTTACCATTTTTGGCCGCGGTCGTGACACTGTGCGGCCTAAGGCCGTCTTCTTACAAAAGAGTCAAATTCAGAAAACTTTAGTTTGCGTTAGGCGGTGTGGGATATACCCAGAGGAGAAAATTTCAAGCCACGGCCGAAGGCCGACTACTTACAAAAAGTGTCAAATTTAGAAAACTTTGGTTCGCGTTATCCGTTGTGGGACATCTCAGTTGTACAATAAATTTTGACCAAAAAGCAAATTTCAGTTATACAACTAATATCTCTGGACCCAAACAAGGTATAACCTCAAATTGAAGTATTTTGGAATGGCAGGAGTGTCAGCTATAATTTGGCATCAATTTCGTTCACCTCCATAATTCACCATTTTTTAGACTTTTTTGGGGTTGTATGAAAAATCCAGGTCCAAAAATCGATTATTTTGCTATAACTTTCGAACCCCTTCCGACCACTTATTGGATAGATATTTTCATAATCTAGCCCGGGTCTTCAACCTGGACTTTCGTCTCAAAAATTTGGGGCCCCGACAAAAAATTTCCCGGAGCCAGGGTAAAAATACCTACCTCTGGAAATAATTTAAGAGTTTTTACTAAACTAGAGTTGTTCCAGCCCTTTTATACAAAAAAACAAGTAAAAAAACATTAAGTCCGACCTTAGACTAAAGGAAACATTAGAACCCATTATGACCCACAAATACCATTTTTTAGACATATTCATGGGAAAATTTTGCAAAAATCATCACAATAGCGAATAACGGGAGGAACCGCTATATGGGGCTATACAAAAACGTGTACCCATACATACAATGCTTCGCCACCGGAGCTAAAAAACATCGTTACCAACAAATATCAATTTTTAGACAAATCCGTGAAAAAATGTGACAAAAACCATCAATATACCGAATATCGGGGGTACCGTCTTATGGGGGCTATACCAAAGCATTGACCTATGCATACAATGTTTCGCCACACAAATAGGACCCATTTTGAGGCACAAATCCCAATTTTCAGACAAATCCATGAAAAAAAGTGGCAAAAATCATAAAAATGCCGAATATTGGTAGGTACCGTTATATGGGGACTATACCAAACTGTGGCAATGCCAAAATCGTGGACCTATACATGCAATGTATCGCCACCGAAGCTAGAACCCATTATGACCAACAAATACCAATTTTTAGACAAATCCGTGAAAGAATGCGGCGAAAATCTTCCTAATACCGAATATCGGGAGGTACCATCATATGGGGGCTATACCAAAGCATTGACCTATGCATACAATGTTTCGCCACACAAACTAGGAACCATTTTGAGGCACAAATCCCAATTTTCAGACAAATCCATGAAAAAATGTGACAAAAATCATAAAAATGCCGAATATTGGTAGGTACCGTTATATGGGGACTATACCAAACTGTGGACCGATATATCTCATTTTCAATACCAACCATAATAAAAACCCATAAACCATAAATAAAAAAAAAAAAAATATATATATATATAAAATTATATATATATATATATATATATATATATATATATATATATATATATATATATATATATATAAAATTCTATAGCAAAAATCCTGTCCCCTATTACCAAAAAAAAATCTATGGGCAAAATACTTCTAAGAGGACTTCTCTAGTATAAATACCTACGGAATGGAAAAAATTGACTAAATATATTACCAATAAAAGACAACCAGACAACCTTTATAGCCCATAAGCCATCGCCACTTTATTGACACAAATTATGTTTACGAGCCAAGCTTTCCGCGAATATTTTTTATGGCCACTAACAAAAAAAAAAAAAAAATAGTGTTAGCTGTTATTTTGGGACGTTGAATGAAATTTGCATAAAATTTCAAATAACAAAAAGAAAAACACCAAAAACTTGACACAATGACTTATTTAAATAAATCGCTGAGGGAGAGAGAGAGTGTGAAAAGATATTCCACCGAAGAGAAGGGGTGGCATATACCGGTTACGGTCAAATGTATTTTAAAAGTGTGACTTAATTTGAGACTGCCACAGCCGATTAAATGTTCTCTCAGCTACGAGTTTGGCATTATTGCTCATTTGTTTTTTAAAATATTGGATGTTTTTAATGGGATTTGTGACAAGAAATTAACTTGTTTTGTTGATGGTAGCCACCGGTACTTGAAGCGATTCGAAATTCAAATGCCGATGACGACAAATTGCAAACAGGCATATTTAGATGAAGACCATGTGTCATCTTTGTGAGTGGATGACTCGGAGAAATGATGTCAAAATTGTCTCAAAAAATATTAACACATCAAAGAGTGGTGGAGTGGAGAGATGGAGGGGGAGAGTGCTAACGAAATCTTGACTACAAAGGTCATAGAGATTTTTTCTGCTACCCAGCCTATGAATCATCGTCCAATTTTGTTTGCCCATATGTTTGGATATTTGCCGACGAAATTGAAGTGATTTCAATTATCGCCTGGCTTTAATTCTGGTTTCAGTTTTTTTTTTATTTTTGGTTTGTCATCGTTTCCCTTTATCTGTCTCTCCACTTTGTGAAGGGGGGGTAGCGGAGTTGTCTTATATTGTCAATTGCTATTAACACCCAACTCTCAGCGCCACAATTTTAATTGAATATTTACCTTTTTTGAGCTTCATTTAAGCCGCAGCTTTACGTTAAGCCACCCCCAGAGATAACGAGAAAAATGAGGCTATGACAATGTCATGTAAAATCGCCCGAAAAAAAACGATATCAAATTGATTATTTTGTTGTTGTTGTTGTTGCCATTGTGGTAATATTGATCGTTACATTTCATTTCCTTTGTGTGCGGTATTATGTTCTGGGCCTCGGCGTATCATTGCCTCGATTTCATAGCAAATCAAAATGTATCGAAATTCGATGGTGGAACAACGTCACAGTATCTAAACTTGTACTTAATTTTCAAGGGCTAAACGCTCAGCCAAACAAACGACATCATTTCATAGTTGAATAGAATTTGAAAAATTATATGAATAGGCTTAGATGACGACGACGATGATAGATCGTTCGTCGTATGGTGGTATCATTTGCTTGTCATGTTGCTGGGTGGCTGGCTGACTCGCTTGTTGGCTATCGAGAGAAGAAACCCTAGCAAAATTAATGGAAACCCCTAGCCATAGCATAGCTCATTAAACATTTGGTATTTTTTCGTTTTTTTTATTTTTGCATCTATGTTGTAGGGAAATATTTAATAATCATTATTTTGCATAGAAGTCATGTAGAACCATTTGTTGTTTGCCCAACTATGTTATGGCCAATTTATTTCGTAGCAAATAACCAGAACCATATTTCTACATATTACAAATATGTTTCAGGTTATAAAATTTCAAGTTTTTTTCTAATATTTTACAAATACAAGACCTGTGACAATGAAAGACCTATCAAAGTACTTTTACTTTATAGAAGCTTTAAAAGGGTTTATAGCTAATGAAAAGCTTCTGGAGGTCCTCTAGCTATATAAAAGCAGTAAAAGCTCATATGTTCTTAAATTGCCTTATGCAGCCCTTCTTCTTGTCGATGAAAAAAAAAAAAAAAAACTTTAAAACATCTTCAATCTTTAAAAGTGTTCTGTAGGGTATTCTAGCTATGACAGATCTGTAAGGGATGTTTACTAATATTTTACGGATAGAAGATTTTTTTGTGATTTTCTGGCGCTGAAAGACCTTTGAAATGACGTTTACATTATAGAAACTTTAAACCCTATTATGGTTTAAGAGATGTTTTTGGAGGTCCTCTAGCTATATAAGAACAGTAAAAGGTCATATGTTTATATATCACCTGATACAGCCCTACTCTTCGCAGAACATCTGTACAATTCTTCTTGTCGAGAGAAACAAGCTTTTAAACATCTTCTATCTTTAAAGGAGGTCTGTAGCAGCGCTGTAAAGGATGTCTTACGGCCCTAGAAAGACTCTTATAACTTCTGCCAGCTTTAAAAGAGGCATACAAAGTGGTTAAGCTTTAGCAGGATGTTAAGCGTCTTCTGACTAAAATGATCTGTAAAAGAAATTCTAGCCATAGAAAAGCTTGAAAAATTATTCTGGTCATGTTAGAGCCATGGAAGGGCTCTAAAAGATCTTCTAGCCATAGAAAACGTTTAAAGTTATCCTGACCGTCGAAAACCTTTTTTGGCTATAGAGGTCCCTCTAGGGTCTTTTAGTCATTAAATTGCTTTATATGTCTTCTAGCCACAGAAAAGCTTTAAAAAGCTATCTGACTATATAATAGGTTTATAATAGCAATTGAATGCTTATTAAAACTTTGAACGGCTATAGATAACTTTCAATTGAACGTCTGGCCATAAAATGACCTTAAAATGCCTTTTAATCACAAAGAAGTTGGGAAAAGCCTCTAGCTCTAGGGCTTCGAGCTTTAATAGGTTTTTTGTGTATGGAAGTACTCCAAAAGAAGGTTGATCTCTTGGCTATTTCCTTGATATGGAAGCTTTAGAAGGTCTTCTAGCTGTAGAAAAGTGTTCAAAGTTCAAACTTAGCATTAATAAAGTTCTTTTGGCTATAGATAACTTTCAAAAGTACATCTGGCCATAAAATAGCTGTAAAATATATTTTAGCTACAAAGGAATTGAGAAAAGCATCTAGCTTTAGTAGGCGTTCGAGCTTTAAAAGGTCTTTTCTCTATGGAAGAACCCTAAAAGAAGGAGCTTTGAAGATCTCTTGTCCATTTCCTGGATATGGAAGCTTTGGAAGGTCTTCGAGCTGGAGGAAAGCGTAGAAAGTTTGTGTTGTCATAAATGGGCTTTGAAATATCTTTAGGCCATGGAAGAACTGTAAAAGGTTTTATGGTCTTATTTTGTCATAGACTAGCATCTAAAATATATTTTGGCTATAGAAGGACTTATAATGTTAACTGGTCATAGAGGAGCTTTCAAAGGCCATCTAAATAACAATTTTTCTGAAATCGATCATCGAAGAGCTTAAAAGGGTCCACTTTTAAAAGTCTTTTAGCCATATATGATCTTTGAAAGGTCTTGTGGCCATAGAAGA